GTATGTATTATTTGCAAAATTGATGTCATTATTAATAACTATATATCTAGATAGAGCTGGAATTAGGGCGTAACAGCCTTTGTAAACAATGACTTCTCTCGTTGATTTTTCGGAATGCAAGGCACGCCTATACAAACCAACATATCCATCGGGTAGGAGAAGTCTTCCTCTACTCGATGGTGATGTCGATTTGCCAGGAAGAGCCATGGCTTCCGAGAAATCATCGAGAGAAGTCATTGTTTACAAAAGCTGTTACGCCCTAATTCCAGCTCTATCTAGATATATCATAAAAGAGGGAGACAGGGAGAATGCTATCCCTAATAAAGTAACACAATAAATTTTTGGATGGTAAAAAATCTTGAAACATTTTCTAACATCTCTAAAGCTTTTCAAAGTTTCCGATATTACATATTTCATAAAAATTTATCGAAGTCTGTGACCACTACTGGGATAAACACATGCCATAAACACTAAATTCGCAAATAGAAAATAATAACTTGCAATGTTTTGAAAATCATAGCTCAGCCATTTATTCATGAATTTCAAATTTATTGGCACCGCTTAAAATTGCGGAATTAAAAAAAAATCCCTTCGTTTATTCAGGATTAAAATCTTTTGATAAAATGCTGACCAATTCATTTTGCGAAACATTGCCAATTTGCCGTTACACATTTTACCAAAGCCATCGTGTCCGGAGTGTTCATACCTTTTAAAATAAAATTAATTGAGATCCGTGACAAATTCTTAAATTTTTTGATTGATTGAAGAATGTTCCAGAATTTTAAAATCATGAGTCAGATTCCTCAGATTCTGAAAAATAAAATTGTATAGGGCTTATGAAAATTTGCAATACCTGGATCTTTAAAAATAATAACCCAAGCTTAAGAAATTTTCCCGAATTCTCGAACGAAGCTTCAGATGTCAGATCTTGATTTCTTTTTTCAAAATCACGGATTTGAAAATAAATATCCATATTGGTAATGGATTTTGTAGAATTTTCAAGGTCGATCAAAATGTCGTTTCCTTCCACTCGAACTTTACCATGGAGCAATACTTTGAGATTTTTTCGTCTATAACTTCAAGGAAATAAAGTAGGAAGTATTGGTATTGGTATTGGAACGTAATTGTTATTGGATATTTTGCAAATAGTGACAGATAGCGGACATGAAGAACCAGTGGAGGTGCCGGGCAAAGGTGTTTATCCTAGACAAATAGTAAGTTACAAATTCGCTGTTGTCGTTGTCGTAGGTGCCGTCGTAGTCGCTGTCGTAATCGCCGTCGTAGTCGTAGGCAGTACCGTTAGTATATTTAAAATAAACCACCAACCGCTGAAAATATGAATTATCGCGTATTTCTGTTGTTCATTACATGCCAAGTAAAATTCGAGAGCGTAATTTCATTTGAATAGCTTGTTCAACTAGGTCTTAAACAATCGTCACGTCGGTCATAGCTTATTATGATTACCTGAACCATGCGTAAAGAGAAAATCGAAACATTTAACGTCGCGTGAAAATGGATCTTAATAAAGGCCTAAAGCTTTTAGTTTAAGGATTTCAAAGATCGTTGGTTGCAGTGGCTTGCTTACTGAGCAGAAAAACGCGGTCCCAGATCCTTTCATATTAAAAATGTATTGTTAGATCCCTTGTTTATCGTGTATTTTGTAAAACTTTTCGTTGTCGTCGGTGCCGGGTCTGAATAGTCATAAAAACTTGAGTAACGCTATAATGTGATATGAGGGGCTCGGTGGCCTTAGCACAACCGGTTTTGCTTACTGAGTAGAACATCATGAGTCTAATCTCAAGCCCATCCACATTCAAGATTCGTTAATCGTTTTATTTGTTAACATGACTACATGGTAATAACAGCAACTCGATGATTAAAAAGGAGCTCGTCTGCCTAGTGGCAAACGTTTTTGCTTACTGAGCAGAAGACCGTGGGTTCAATCCCAAGCTCCTTCGCGTTGTATATGATTGTTAGGACATCAATTCAGCTTATCGTTTACCAAAACGAACCCTGCTGCAAACCCAACCCAACCCTTTTACCCAACATCCCAGTGATTCCTCGTGGAAGTGAAGAGGTGTTCTCGGCTTCCATCAAAGCGAGTGTCACGTCAACACATTCCTACCCCTTCCTTTCTTGACCTGTGTTCGGGCGCGGCCGGCGCTGGTATTGCCTAGTTTGAGATCACCAGTTTTTACACATTGAGGATGATTGCTAGTCCCAATCATCGTCTATTGGTTCTCTGTGTAATTACAGCTGGTCTGGCAATAACAGAGTAGCAACCGTGGGCGGTCAATCATGCTCATGCTCATGCTCATGCTCAAAATTTAAGATCTTATAAGAAAATCCTGAATATAGATGATGAAAGATCAAGCTGAACATTGCATTACGTCCTAAGTAACATTGACAGATTCTCTTCGTCGACTTTCTCTTTACATTCCCACGGCCATTCAAAGACATTCAGAGGTATTTTCAGAACACAGATCGATAAAAAAAAAGTTTTTATCTATCTTCTAATATCACAAATAAATCAAGAAACGGTTATGTGATCAAGTTATTAACGAAAGAGAAAGTCGACGAAGAGAATCGATCAATGTTACTTAGGACCTAATGCAATGTTTAGCTTGAAATGTTGAATATGCTGGGTAAACAGCCCATTGTTAATTTAAAATAAATCAATTGGCTGATACTTCCAAGCGTTTAGGGGTTCTTGCACTTTGATAATATTGAAGATACTGAACTTAAATCATTTTTTAGGAGCTCTAGGGCACGGAAAACTTAGATCTGATCTGATTCAAAACAAATGCCAATATTTAGCAAATTGAACACATTTAAAATTTCAGACTTGAAGAATTTTTATTCAAGACTCTGAGGCTATGAAATGATTTTTCGTAGCAGATTTCTCTTCCTTTGAAATATGATCACTCCATGCGAAATTTTGCCAGCTCTATTTTAAAACCTAGTTACACCCTTACTCATAGTAACCATTTTCACGAAACTGCTTAAAATATGCAGCCAAAATGTACTTCAATCTCCAAGTATCTTCAAATGTCTTCAAAAGTCTTCACAAATCATGAAATGTCTTCAAAATGTCTGCGGAAAATAAAAGTCTTCACGGGATAACAAATGTCCTCAAAATCAAGCCATGTCTTCATCTTGCATCTCTGATGAGATCACCCATGTTTCAGCTCATTTGGTTGTAACACGAGATGACACTTTTAGTTTAAAGTTCATATTGAGTTTTTGGTTGGAATTCTGACATACATTCAAAAGCGAATATTCCAATCAAAAAATAATTATGAACAAAATCGAGTAAACTGAACCATTTTATGTTCTAAATAGTGAACGGGTGTAATTTTCCCATATAGGGGAAATGTTGGCTTCGGCAATACCTTAACCTATTATGGTTGGGGGGGGGTAAACAACGTCCTTGAGAGCTCAATTTTGGCATGTGGATACATTGTGTTTCAGAGCAACTATTGGCCAAATTTGAGTGCTCTAGGACTTTATTTACCCCCCTGACGATAATAGGTTAAGGTATTGCCGAAGCCAACTTTTCCCCTATTTCATTCCAAACACCCATATGAACTTTAAACCAATAGCACCAGCTCACGTTACAACCAAGTGAGTTGAAACATTCAGAGAATGATTTTCTTATCCAAAGGAACAAGTCTGGAGGATTCCCGATAGAAGATATGCTCTTTCATGATGTTGGCCCAGTTCATTTGCCACAGGGCAGATAATATAGCAAATGTAGAGAAAAGTACGACCCATTTTGCTAATTAATCTCTGAAACCTGGAATACTGGTATAAATGAATGAAATCAAATAAACTGCCACTGCACAAGTCCTGTAATATTTTACGAAAACTGGAAAATGTTTTCTTTCACATTTAGCATAACCCACGCCTTGTGAGGAATCCTGGCTTCTAGCAAATGGGTAATCTGCTCCGTTAAGACTCCGGTAATCGCGCTCGTGATTGTCCACACTGCTGCTTTCTTGATTAAAAAAAAAGATTGACGATGCTCGAAACTAGCACCACATGCGCTTGGAAATGCTCCAAGCTGCCTCCTTGACGTTTATGAATGCCACCCATAAAATCGACAACAGTTACAAAGTCATAGTAAATATTACAAATTTCGTATGCATTTTATACAAAACTGCGGCAAAATCTTACATCTCGATATTTTAGAATCATTTCAAAGCAGTATACACCAAAGAACCAAACCAATTTGCATATTCATTCTAAACTTGATAGAACCAGTTTGTAGTTTATGTCGCTTTGAAAGCTAAAGCCAGCTTTTATGGGATGATACAATATGCTAATCAAGTATTGAGTGCCACTTTCAATAGCGCGTCTGAGGACTTAAATCAACCAGGCACAAAACAATGCGCCAGCAATCGTTGTAGAACTTTATGCCAAGAAAAATCAGCTCCATTTCAAACGGGAATCTACATGGAGCCCAGCTGTTCATTAATTTTACACGTTCTACATGTCGCTCAACGTCATTAAAAGTAATATTTATTGCAGCCTTCCATGCAACCAATGAAAATCTAATAACAAACGGTACATTCATCACATTCAGACCATTACCATAATCATTAGACCGTTTGTCATAGAAAAAAAAATCACACAGCATCGAATTAAATGCAAATCTTCCACGACAAATGCTCTTTCTGTGTAAATGAGCAAAAAAGCACCACTGCACTGCTACAGTAGGCACCTAATTACCACGTCTCCATGCTCTCGGTAATTGATTTATTCGAATCGCTTGGCTTTCTTTCATCTTTTTACTGCTGTACTTTTAGACTGTAATTAATCCGAAAGTAAGCTAAACCAATTTCACATCAAATTGAACTAATCCAATTAGGTTCCCCGGTCGGAGCAAAATTGCGAAATTCACTTGATGGAAAGACATGAGAGAGCAAATGAAAATCATCATCCTATATTTTCTAGAACAATCGTACTAATAACCTTCTTCCTCAATTTCCCTCGATTAGGCATACAAAATCCGCCAGGCCAATTCGGTCAAGATTGCCCGGATCGTGGCCGTCACGGTGATCCTGTCATCCTTCATCCTCGGGTCGTTCATGCTCGCCTCGACCTACCTGCAGGCGAAGCAGTCCTGCGACCAGATGCAAACCCTGGATGCCGTCCTCAACAAGGAGCTGATGCTGGAGGCGATGCAACAGGTAAGTCACTCGTTATTCGCTTCATCACCTCGATTGCAAATATTAAGCCTTGTGCCGTACTAAGACGGTAAAAAAGTGTGTGGGGGTGTCGACATCAAGGGAGAAATTCACCGAACCGTGAAAGTGCACAGCTCAGGTTTTTTCCCGGAGCTGATGGGTGTAAAATGCAGCGCGTTTTACGACTTCACCTTTACCATCCATCAGCGACTCAGAAACAGAAAAGGTGGGATTTGTGAGCCAACGAGATTTACTGAACTGGAAAAGTGGTTCACCACAAACAGCTATAGTGAAGACGGATCGCTTGGTGGAACAAAGCGACGTTTCTTAACCTCTGCTATTTAGGAGAAATCCACCAATGGAAAGACAGGATTATGCGGTTTTTGCGGCGAAAGATGACTTCATGCACAACACTTGGCGGTGTGTCCTAGATTCATCTCCGAAATATTCCAAACATACAAACAAGTCACAAACAAACAACACGCTTACTGAGCATTCAATTAGTCGGACAATAAAAAGTGATTCGGCAAATATTGATTCGAACCGGCACCGAAAATCGGGTGCGCAATCCGAAATGAATCATAGCCTGCCGGAGCGAAAGTTACTCGCGATGATGATAATTAAATTTGAATATTATTGAAGATGTCGTTTCGTCACTTAGTGAACTGTTGAAGGTTACAACATTTAAAGGTTTTCTAGGAGAAACTGGTCCAGTAGGAACGAGTTGTTTAATTTGAATCGATTAACAATAAAACCACTAATTGGCAGTAAAAAAGTAACACGCAGGCTTTTCGAATGTAAACACGCGACTGACCTTGGTTTCAACTGTCGATGATTGTTTATCACTGCGTTACGACAAGGGCTGGTTAGTTTATGTAACGGAGTAAGGACTGTCCAGGTTATAAAACGGACACACACTTTCAGTCCCAACTTTTTTATTCTACTACTTAGCTTAATGCTTTCTTCGGAAAGTTTTAAGCTATACTTATAAGCAACATATAAACAATGAAATTTTTACGTACCAGCACCTTTACCGACTGAGCTTAGGGAGCATAGCTTTTCTCAAACATTATTTTAAAACATTTATGCATTTTCATTTGAAATGCAAATTAACTTGAAAATGATTAACATCCAAATCCCAATAAAAAAATAGGGTGCTTAGAACGAATTGCCATGCAATAAATTTAATTTGAGGTTTTAATTTTTGAGAAAAATAATACTTAAAATAAATCTTCTTAGAAGATTTCAACAAAATGTTGAGCAAATTTTTAAGGTAATTCCAGCGACAGTTCCAAGAAACTTGAATTCTGAAATCCGAAGATAGTTCTAACAAAATTTTGAGGAAAATTTCTAAGGAATACTGAGGAGTAATCCAAGGATATTCCGGTGATAATTTTTAGAAAATTTAAAATGAAATCCAAGGAAATTATGAGGGGCGCTTCAAAAAATTTCTGGAAATTCTGAGCAGAACTAAAAAGAAATTCCTATAATTATTCCATGGGAACTTCAGGTGAATACTAAGTGCATGCTGAGGAGAACTTCAAGTGATTTTTTCAGAAGTATTTTTCAGGGAATTGCTAGAATTATTAATAATATGAGGAGCATTGCATAATGAATTCAGACAGTGTTCTGCAGAAGATTTTCAAGCGTCTCATGGAGGAAATTATAAAAGAATTCCATTGTTCCACAATTGGACACACCGGAAGATCAAAAGACACTTGATTTGCTGTCGTCACTAATTCTCCCATGAAGTCACCGAATGTCGCCAATGTTTCATACTGTTGCTTGCTTTTATAGACCGCCCATTCCATTTTCAACGATCCTGGTAGTTTCGCTACGAGCTCCTGCATCAGCATTGGGTTAGCCAAATGCAGGAATTGCTTCGCCGCCTTCAAGTGATCCACGAGGTTTTACGGTCAATCCGAATTCCACTACCGTTTCAAGTCGATCGTGTCTAGGTGCTGGAGCTCGATGAACCTTCTCGATGAGCGACCGTATGAGAAGCTCGAGTCTACCGTACAAAGTTCGCAGGGTGTTGATGACTTGTGGGACGCTATAAGGAAGCAGTAGTCTACTCCGTACTGATTCTAATGCGTGCCCCTTCAAACGTTATTGTAAGCGGATGAGATTTTCCGCATCAGTGTACCCACACGCAGCTGTGCTTCCATTTATTAACGTCCTTTTAAACGAACCACCTTGAAGAGGTGGAAAAAGTTCATTCAGGATGGCCAAGTCGCAACCAGCACCCAGCCGATTAGCATCCCCAGGTAGCGATAATCACGGGCTTCTTAGAGTTGGCTATAACTTATTTGCTCTATCATCGTCATCACTGACACTAGCGACTTATAAACAATAGTGCATTAGTGACAACAATGATCCCCCGTTTTTGTTCGCATTACTGACGGCAAATATCACCGCCAGCAACACCCACCGGGCAAAGCGTGGAGGTAAGAATCGGAGTTCAGGTGCACAGAGGTCACAAATCACCGGTCAGGGCAGAACCCAACAACCATTGAAAGGCGTTCTTATGCACCTGCTTTACCCGGCATATGCAGCTGTGGTTTGTTCGAAGCTGCATATAAATATTGGCCAATCTTCTGGATTGCCAGAAAAATGTAGCAATTCTTTTCCCATCACTTGTCTAGCTGCCATTTTACTTGCGTCTAGAATTAGGGGAGGTACTGCACGCTCCTGGCGTGGTATCGTTGGTGGAAACTCCGGAACTCCTCTGGGAACTGAGGGATCGATTCCCAATCGATGCGGTGGACGATTTGGAATTTGGTGGGGAAGTCTATCGGTCATTTGATGACCTCTAGGCCAGTGATGAGGTACAGTAGGCATTTACGGTTTCGGAAAGTTAGGCAAAACAGACGGTTGACCAGACGGCATGGGATAATCATGCAAGACCGAAGGCATTTCTGACAGCATCAGAGGGTCGGACAAAACAAACGGTTGATATAATGGCACCGGAGGCGTATGATGTGATGGAGTAACAGATTGCCGAGGTTCTTGCCTTTCTGGTTGATCAGCGATAGATAGTGATGGGTTCGGTCTATGCAGAGGAACTGCTGTTCCAGAAACCGAGTCCACATCGCGTGCTCCGGAAGAGCATTTATCCAGCCAATCGGATATCCTCTCCTGAGAATCGTGAATCGATCCACCTCTGCTGCCACACTCACTCAATTGTCGGACAATACCTTGTTTCTTCTCCAACGACTCCTTCCTGATCATCTGTTGCTTCTCTCGAAAGGCCTTTTCATCATCCAGCTGTCGTTGCCGGATTTTAGCTTCTTCTCCTCAAGACGATGTAGAGCTTCTTCCGTCGCTTTCTTCTCGATTTCTTTCTGAGCCTGCAGTTCCTGTTCCTTCATTAACTGTTCATCTTCAATCAGCTTCATTTCGGTCCGTAGACGAGGTACTGGAAGTTGTGCTGAGTACAACCGATGGGGCTGATTGCGAATCGAGTGACGCATCGGGATTCTTTTGGGCCTGCTTGGAAACAGATTTGGCTGTTGACGATCGGTAAGATCTGGTATCTGAAGGTGGAAGTTTGAGATGGCGAGACGACGACGAATCCTTCTTCTTACATGCTTTGCACACGTAGGCCTGTTCCTTCACCGAAACATCCACACCCGCGCACCGAAAATGTTCCCACAGCCTACACTTGTCACAAGCGACCCATTTCTCATCAGGAGAGTCAGACTGGATGCAAGACTTGCAACTATATCCCGCGGATTTCTGATGTTCCTCCATTCCAGACCCCGTAATAAAATTCTTAAAGTTTTTGTAGGGTTGTGTCACCAAATCTCAACAGGAATGTATTGACGTTAGCCCAGCAGGGTAAACTGGCACAACTCGCCAACGAGGCGCGACGCATGAAGCTGGAAATCCTGGGACTGAGTGAAGTTCGTCAACCAAACTTTGGAAAACAAAAACTGCCGTCGGGACAGGTACTACTATACTCTGGAATTCGAGGTGAAAACGCTCCCCGCCATCGTGGAGTTGGTCTCCTACTTAGCCTCTAGCCAAGTGCTGCGCTCATCAAGTGGGAGCCTGTTAATGAAAGGATAATGGTTGCCAGATTTAGAACACGGGTTCGTAACCTTACCATAATCCAATGTTATGCGCCAACCGATGCTGCCGAGCTACAGGACAAGGAGAATTTTTACAGTAAACTGAATGCCGTCGTGGATAAGGTTCCAAAGGGTAACATCAAGATCTTCACTGGCGACTTCAATGCGAAGATCGGCTCCGACAACACGGACTATGAGCGTGTCATGGGACGCCATGGTCTCGCGAAATGAGCGAGAACGGTGAGCTGTTTGCAGAATTTTGTGGCAATAACGACATGGTGATCGGGGGCTCGCTCTTCCCCCATCGGCCAGTGCACAAAGTCACGTGGGTTTCCCGTGATGGACATACCGAGAATCAGATCGACCACATCTGCATCAGCCGAAAATGGAGACAGAGCCTTCTTGATGTCCGGAATAAACGCAGCGCCGACATCGCGTCTGACCATCACTTTCTAATCGGTGAAATCCGCCTACGCATGGCGCGGATCCAGCGACGGGAGGAGAGACTCGGGCGGCGGTTCAACACACGCCGACTTGAAGATCCAGCGGTAAAAAGGTCTTTTGTTGAAGAACTTGAGACTCGAGCTGCGGACGTTCCAGAAGGTGGCAGCGTGGAAGAACAATGGACGGCCATCAAGAATGCCTTTATAGAAACAAGCGAGAACAACTTGGGTGAGCTGCGCACCCAGAGGAAAGAGTGGATCACAGATGAAACCTGGCGGAAGATTGAGGAGCGTAGAGAAGCAAAAGCCGCAATAGAGCGGGCGAGAACCAGAGGAGCCAAGAACGAAGCCCGTCAACGGTACTCGGCTCTAGAAAAGGAAGTAAAGCGCTCTTGCAGACGGGACAAGCGAGCGTGGGTGAACTCCCTGACCGACGAAGGGGAGAAAGCCACAAACACTGGCGATATACGCCTCCTCTACGATATCT